AAGTAAAAAGTCAATTAAAACATAATTCAAAACGATTAATGAACCAAAAACAATTAATGAACAGAAAACAATTAAACAAAATACCGAGACTATCCTTTTGAAAATTAGGGGTGTTACAATCACCTATTATAACTCCTTTATCAGTGCAATGTAGAACTGACATAACACGCCAAAACAAACACCACTAACAGTGATGTCCACCATCGAACTTGCTTATCCACAACTCTTAATCCATATGGAATTAAAATTCTAACCAATGTCGATACTTTCTACCAACCATCCACCTCCTGATTAGTCCTACTTCCCTGTTGATATAGGATGTGGCTAAAACCTCCAATGATATCCAAGCCTCAATTTTCCACCTTGTTAGCAGGTGATACACTTGGAGACAGTGATATACATGTCTCTATCGATACCGGCTCACCAAGACGAACCTGGTAAGTCGTGCTGTAAATCCTATCCATTTGACTGCACCGTAAAATTTATGAATTTTACATCTCAGTCATTCCGACCTTCCTAGAATAAATAAAAAAAAAACAACTACCAATCCTCCTTCAGTACCCTAAACTCATCTGAGTAAGATACTACCTCCTATGAGGTCAGCCCAAATATTCCAAGTTGACCGCCTTCATTTCCCTGGTAATAGCAAGTGTTATTATTTCCACGTGCTACAATGCAATGGATTGCGCAATAACCACCGCAGGTGCAATCACCACATCGGTTGATAAGATCATCCTCCTCCCTATTACTTCCACCAGACAAAACTTAATGCAAAGTGTGAATCACCACATCTATCCATCTAAGCCGTCTCGTGATCCGTGCTATTCGTAGGAACTGATTTCTTACCAGTTCCAAAATAGACAAAATGAAGTTGATTTAATTTTATCAATCAAATAATATCCCGATCAGGATCCTGACCCTTATGTAAAATCAGCAATCTCTTACCTAGATCCGTGGAAACTACCCTGTTAGTCCCACTCTAGCATAAGAAGTGGCTACAAGGATCTAATGATCTCTGACGGCCTATCTAGATTATCTACCAGATATCAGACTTTGAGACAAAATCATTATGTCCCTCCTCCTACCTACCTCCAAACATCTGCTTCCCTCTATGAAGCCTCATGTTTCCTCTAAAATCAATAAAGAACTAAGAGTGGTGAACCTCAGTCCTTACATCCTTCTTCCAATTTGTCTAACGAAAGTATCATTAGTCTGGTAGCACCAGCTTCCATATTTAGATGTTCAGTCTCACCTTCCAGTCTTTGACATCCTACTTGTCTAACACAAGTAAGTGTTTATTAGACTTCCTGTCTATCTTCAAAAGAATATGGAAGTTTTCCATCCTCCAAATAGTCAAAAATTTCCTAGCAACAACTGTTTGTTGCGAACATAGTGATTTTGTCTCAAAGTCTGATATCTAGTAGATAATCTAGATGGACCGTCAGAAATCATTAGATCCTTGCAGCCACTCCTCATACTGGAGCGGGACTAATAGAGTAGTTTCCACGGATCTAGATGAGAGATTGCTGATTCTACATAAGGGTCAGGATTCTGGGTGGGATATTGTTTGACTGATAAAATTAAATCAGATTCACTTTGTCTATTTTGGAACTAGTAAGATATCAGTTCCTACGAATAGCACGGATACTGTGATACCCCTTGTTTTTAGAGCCAAGGGTGATCAAGTCCGAGCACAGATCCGAGGGATATCAGACAATCAATATATAAACAAGCAGGAATAAAAACTGAATTAAGAATAAAATAATAATGCGCTGAAAGAAAGCTAAAATAAAAATCCTCAAATTTTAAATATTAAATTAATATTATTTAAATCCTTCATATCCGTACATAAACCCGATACGCAGATACATCCTAGATAGCTCGGCAATATCAAAAATAGTCCATATAGATATAGATACACACTATAGGATATTCACTAACCTATAGTCATCACACCTGAGTAGAAGGTAACACGCAAAACGCCGTAGCGTAGTCATGCACACCTAGACCTACCAGGGAACGTCATTAGGTCTAGTTATCCATCCACGCGATATACGCACCCTAATCGTGATCAGGAGACTTAAAGCTCGTATCACGGTACCATAAGTATATATATAAATTCCTTCTTAGTGCAGAAAGATAAAACAAATATCCATTATGTCGTTCATCTGTTTTAGTTGACAGGACATGCATCCATGTAGGATTTAACTGTTTTAGTTAATCCATTCCTTATGTATGAAGGGGTAGGACTTAGCTTTTTGATTTAATCCATCCTTGATATGTCACCGTCCCGTACTGGTACATATAATGCAAATGATCTACAAATAATGCACATTCATTAGAACATCAAATACATCCAGAGTCCGACATAACAACAATCAGATATAAGCAAGATTCTATTATGCATACAGTACATGATTAAAATCACGAAACATTCGTTCAAATTGCTACAGTAATGATAAACAATTTAAACCATCCATTCCTCATATAATTGACTGAACATGAAATATATTAGTTCAGCAATTAACATTCATAACATAATATAATGATTGACCACATTATATTAGAAATCCCAAACCATACTCTCATATTAGTTTACTAAAATCACTAAAACAAAGACTAGTAATGAAATCCTCCACAATCCTTGACGGCATGAAAGTTAACATTTACACCACATGACGTCCATTTGACCCTCCACTCCAAAACCTGTGCCTGATGTAATATGACACTCTGAAGTCCAAACTGCACAGTATATGAAACCCCAACAGTATTCCCATACTAGTCCATTTAGTTCGCTAAAACAAAACTAGCAACTAAAATTCCTACCATTCCTGACAACATGTCATTTAATATCTAAGTTCATGAAGTCTGTGACCATGTCCTAAACTGACCTTTCTGGCCTCCTTTAATTTATATATACATTTTATATAACATCCCAAAAATAATTCAATACTAGTTAGTTTAAGTTATTAAAACAAACTTAGTAACTTAAACCTTCCTCCTTCCTTGACAGCATGCCTATTCTACGTTTCCGTTTCATGATGCCCCCTAGGATTAGCACCCTAGCATAAACCAACTGTTCGAGGGTCTTAATAGGTTAATTTTTACACATTTGGAACCCAATTTATTTTCCAGTAATTACCTTTAAGCCCCTGAAATCAGAAAAATATCCGAAAACGTAAAAAAAACCACTTACTGAGCAATTTCAAAATCCACAAAAGTGTGGAGCCTGCTCTACCATCTTGGAGCTGCCTCCACAAGAGTGTGGAGCCTGCTCCACTTCAATGGAGCCGGCTCCATTGAAAAGTGGAGCCTCCTCCACTCTCTTAGCCTCCGTTACCTCTGTTTGCCTTCTCCGCTTCCGGCAAAGCTTCAATCCTCTATCCCACCTTTGTTAAAGATATTTAAGGTTCAATTTAAGTCCTAAAAATCCTAGAAACTTCTCCAATTCCAGTATGAATTAATTGACAAAAACATAAACCATAATCGAAACAGTTTATGCTTCCTCTGTTTGCCTTCTCCGCTTCCGGCAAAGTTCAACCCTCTGCTCCAGAATTTTTTCAACCATCCTAAAGACTCCTCAAATATCAACAAGCATTGCTTGACAAAAATTTAAAACCGAACAAAACAGTTTATGCAAGGAACACAATTTCAGTTCACCTAAACATACGAACAGTTTAAAGTCTGTTCCCATGCATCAAAATTCCGTTTTAAAGTTTAATTAACTTCCTGGAGACTATATAGAATGCACAGAACACAAGTTTACAAGAAGGAGATAGAATGAAACTTGCCTTTAGGTTTCGGTTTGAAACCTTTCAACATCCGTCTCCAAGTTCCGACAACCCCCAAGACCATTCCTTCCTCCTTTGTTCACTGCTCTCTACCTTTGTTACTTCTTGGCTCAACCCACAAGCAACTCCCTTAATTAATCTCTCAAGACCCTCTCTGTTTATCTATCAAAACTATTCCAGAGCCTCTGTTTTTCCCCTCTCTAGACTATTGCGTGAGTAGGGTTTTTCCCAACCCTAGCAGACATATAAGAATATATATATATAGGCATCCAAATCATAAGTCTGATTATAATCGTATATCTATAAGCTTTAATTAAACCCTAATATAAGTCGGCTACTACAATATCATAAAATAATAAAACCCTAATCCTAAACTACATACACGACCAAATAAAACAAATAATTTAAACAAATAAGTCATATAAAACACATGTCATTTAAACCACAAATTAATCAAATAATTAAATTAACTCACAATTAACCAATTAAAAATACAACCAATAAAACAATTATAGTTAAATAATTAATTTAAAGAAATACACTAATATAATAAAACAATTAATTTAAATAAACAAAATTAATCAATTAAGAAAAACACATAAGTCACGTAAGTCACATAATTAAATAAAAATGCAATAAAATCAAAATTAAATTCCTATTTTATCCTTTTGAAAACTAGGGGTATTACATTCTTCCCCCTAACAAAAAGAATTCCGTCATCGGAATTCACGAAACTATGAATTAATGTCTTTTCAAAATTCATTTCTGTGTTCTTTATGAGCTCTACGAAATTCCAACACATCCAAAAATACACAAGGTTTCGAGGTTTAAGAAATACCAGAAATGTACAACTCCTAGGTTGTATCTATCAACGATCCAATCTTACTCAATATTTAGTGAAGGGTAACGATCCCTATTCCTCCAAGTTCCATAGAACAGAAGTATAAAATTCATATGCATCCAGCGCTAACAAATTGGTAACGCTAAGCAATAGGCTACTGCCTAAACCGATAAACAAAACCATAAGAAGTCAAGTGTATATTGAGAACTGACCTAATCCCCATACATATGGATTGTCTGATATCCCTCGGATCTGTGCTTAGACTTAATCACTCGTGACTCTAGAATCGAGGGGTATCACAATTGGTATCAGAGCAAGCAAGAATAAAAACTGAATTAAGAATAAATAATAATGCGCTGAAAGAAATCTAAAATAAAAATTCTCAAATTTTAAATAATAAATTAATATCATTTAAATCCTCAAAATCCGTACAACTCGGGAATCCAACTAGTGGACCCCTAATAATCTCATACTATAAATAAATTTACAAAATTAAAATCCAAAACTAGAATAAGAAAGGAAATCATATGTAGTCGGAAGAGTGAGTGATTGTATCTGCATCACCACGATTAAGCCCTAAGCCTGGTACTCATGAACACCTGAAAAATAAAGGTAGGTCAAGCCCACATGCAAGTTCCATCCTACTACAATCCGTACATAAATCTGATACACAGATACATCCTAGATAGCTCAGCAATATCTAAAATAGTCCATATATATATACACACTATAGAATGCTCACTGGCCTATAACATAGTTCAGCCTGGGTAGAAGGTGACATATAAAACACGCTTTCCAGCAGCCAAGTAAAACAAATAATTTAAACAAATAAGTCATATAAAACACATGTCATTTAAACCACAAATTAATCAAATAATTAATTTAAATATACAAAAATAATCAATTAATCAATTAACCAAATACACATAAAACAAATTTACCATTAATCAATTAAGAACCCAAAACACAAAAGTCACATAATTAAATAAAAACGCAATAAAATCAAAATTAAATTCCCATTTTATCCTTTTAAAAACTAGGGGCAATACACTTAATCCCTAGTTCCACTTTTGTATAAGGGATGCGTTTTCCTTTTGAACGCTTTTTTATTTCAATTATTACTTATCAAAAAAAAAAAAAAAATATTGCCAGTTCATACTTCCAAAAGTATCTTTAAGTAACACAAAATCCTTGCATTATAATGTAGGAAGAAAACATAAACCTTGCAACAACTTGTCTCTAAACCTAGCATATTCACGAACACGCCCTTGGTGACCAAGCTTACGCATTTACCCCTAAATCTTCGACCATGAGCAAGAGGTAACCACCACAACACTAACTTGTGAATTTTCTAACTAAAGTAAAAATTAAATCAAAAGTCAAGCTCATTAACATATACATCATTCATAGGTGAAGACTTTAGCCTCAACAAGAGTAGCTATTACGAAAGACAATGTGACGGGTAAGGGGGTTGGTGAGATTGTACTGACTGAACGGAAGAACCGAATAAACACTAATTTTGATCAAAGAAATTTGTTACCCTAAGTTCTATTGACTTGACAACTCTAATATGAGTTTACAAAAATAAATGGACAACTTATTCATTTTAATGATATTAACTTTTTCTTATTTATGAGTCAATAAAAAACCATTCTTAGCACAAAAATATATCATCACATTCTATGCCACTGTACAAGGCTGCCCTTGTGACCCTGTCATACCATATTTGCTGCTAGGGTATGTGGCATGTCATGACCTATTCCCATTCTACTTTAGCAAAATGATCCATGTTCTTTGTGTCATTTCTTGGTTAACATCATCCTTACCTTAATCCCATATAAATGTGGTCGGCGACATGAATTCTCTTTTTTCATTCTTTTCTATTATAAGCCATCTCTCCTCTAATATTTAACGTTTTGAAATGATTTCTTTCCATGTTAATTATGGGTGCCTGCTCTGCCTCCTACCCTCTATGCAATGGCTTATAGATGAGAGGAAGAAAATGACACAAAGAAAAAATGTAATCTTCCTCTTCTTACCGATGCATCTATAGGTCTTCTATGCAATGGCTTACATGTGGGAGGAAATAAATGACACAAAGAATGATCTTTAAGTTGAAGGGTACGATGGATGTTCAAGAAGTAAACACTGACATCAAGAGTGGATTATTTATGTAAAGCTCTTTCTAGTTGCTCACCAATTGCAATTCAGGCTTCCATATCTCAATCTCCATAGGCTAACAACCTCAACTTTTAGCATATGTTATTCTAAACCGCTAATCGAGTCTAGCATTATCAAACTTTTAAAAGATTTGGAAAACAAATCCCTCATTCCATTCAGCCAACACTTGCACAACCGGCCATACATCCCAAAAATTTGGCAAAAGCCAGATGTGACCATACCATTAAGCCACATTAATCCTGCTGGGATATTTTAATAAATATCCTTATTTATTGTGGTTTATTATATTTTATTAGTTTGTTAATTCCTAAAACTATTTGACCATCAACGGTTACAACCCAAGCATAATATAAAAATTCCCAACAAATCCTCCTCAAGTAGCCTCATTAAACATCAGTCAATTCATTGTTTCAGACCCAAAATGCTAGAAGAATAATAGAGCACACGAGTAACAGACACAAATTCCCCAAAAATCACATTAAGAAATTATCAAAATAAGAAACACTTAATATTCAGACACAAAATAAATCACTCGTCTAGGTACATTTCAATCAAAACGAGTATCACAACAGCTAATGAGAAGCCCAATTACAGCTAAATCATAAAAGATAGAGCAATGCCAATGAGAGATTAAAACAATAACAAAGCAAATCAAGAACGAACACAACCCAAGCAAGCAAAACCTTAAAGTTCTTCTTTTTCAGATATAAACATACATATAGATGTGAGCGTGCACGTGTCAGTGTATATACGGACAGAGTTAGAGGAAACTTCATTTTACCTTTTGGGAACAATTATTCGTCGATGGTAGGCTTGAAAGTGAATCGCAGGGAACGTTTGAATCCCTATAGATATCTTCTCTTTAGAGAGAGAGAGAGAGAGTGAAAGAGTAAGAGAGAGATATGTAGTTACAAAGGAGCGAATGAGTGGGAAAACTGCATAAATGTGCAAAGTCCTACAACGTACAGAAAATTAAATTCAGAAAAGATTAATACATATATATATATATATATATATATGTATATATATACACATATACATTGACCCAAATGTATTAAATGACTATTATATTTATTGTAACTTAGGTGTGGTGATGTTGCCCAAGTGTTAAAAGGGTCAGGCCTTAGTGATCCCACCCTACATTCCTAGATTTGAATCCCCTCCCCTGTCCCCCACTAATTACTAATTTTCTAACCATTGATGTTTTGGAAAAGAAAGAATATAACAATTATTGAGAAAATACAACTCTATTACCTTAAGAGAAATATGTGCACTAACTCTTAACGATTTTATATTAAATAAACAACCACAATTGTTCTACATAAAAGAATAAATAAGTGAAATTATCATGGCCAATATGACAACTAGGTGTCAAATGACTGTAATATTCATGAAATTAAAAATAAATAAAATAAAGTAGAAGATATTCATGAATATACAAGCAATCCACAAGAGAATATAAATAAACAAATATAAACCAATAAAAGGAAACAATTGTTAGCAGGTATCCATGGATATTGTACACAGACAAAATTAAAAATAAAAAATAAAAGAAAGCAATATGACTGGAAGGCATTCGTGGATATACAAAGCAGTGCATAAGAGAAATAACAAGGAAGTAAAGCAAAGGTATTAAGAAGGGTACCTTTTGATTGGTGCACTACTTGCCTATTTTCTTTTGCTTCTCTAAGTGCCGAGCAAAACTTACTGTTGCCACGCCACATCGGAATGCTTAATGCTGCTGCCATCTTTTTGAACAGAGCTTCGACCTCTTCCGGACGTCGGGAGATTACAGGCACAGTCCCGATTTATATTGTATGGCTGGGGCCATTGTATGGTTGAAGGCTATATTAAAATATCGGTAGAGATGTTCTACACTCTAGGTTTAGGTGTCTCCTTTGGATACTCTTGTAAACTTGGAGACGGCTTTTAGGGTTAGTAATTGGGTTTTCCCCCACTCCTCTTCTTGTGAAGTGCAAGCTATATTTTATAAGACATAATAGGCTTGGTGAACCGGTGTTCTTGCTGAGCAAGTCCATTAAGTTTGAAAACTTTGGACTAACAGAACACGTGATTTGTGACTGTGACTGTGACAGTGATTGGTGGAATTGTATATCCCTGTACCCCTAAATTTCTGAACTTTACCGAGGAAACAGTTATATTTGTTTATCTATTTTTATTTCATTATTTATTATATAAGTATTGTATTTATTACATGGGGGCGATCAACTCCACATCTATTGAGATATTTTTTTTGACCAGAACATTTCAGTTCGGGACAAACACTATAACAAAAAATAATAATATATTTTATTATTGTTTTTATTTCATTTATGCTTTCTTATTTTTTTTTTCTTTCCTTTCATTGCTATTATATTTATTTTTCTTTATATATGGGCGCAGTTTATGGCCACAACCTGGTGAATCTGTTGGTGGCCTTAAATCACAAAAATGATAACTATTTTATATATTTATATTTTATTTTTATTTTACCTTAAAGTTTTGACCCAATCCGGACACTGTGGGTCAGTCTATTTTAACATTTGGAAATCATATTAGCCTATTTTTCAAGTTTTAATTAAACTTGAACGGTTCAAGGGGTGAAAAATTACGTTTTTACCTCTTTCTTAATCGAGTGTTACGAGTCGCATTACGAACTTGAATCTAAGTGTATCTTAAGGTTTTGGGATGTTCCGGATCTAATGGTGACATCCATTTTATGATCCGGTGGTCGAATTTTTTGATTTTCCTAACTTGGCCAAACTAGTTTTACCGGAATACTCCTACAAATGGGTAGGGGCAAAATTGGGTATCTACAAGCATGCAGTACACGCAACAAGATATCCAATATACAAGTATACGTACACAAGTATACAATCAATATTAAAATGCACTTAAGACAAGTATACAAGACACAAGTATACTAGGTTATCTAGAAAGTAAATCATTAATATACAAGTGTACATACCAAGTATGCTAAGCAATATTGAAATAGAATACAACATATATATTCAAATATATATTTCTAAGTATACTAAGCAATGTTGATATACATGGGATACAAGTATACAAATTCAAGTATATAAAGTATTTTTGATATACAAGGCGTACAAGTATACTAAGCAAGAAATGAAGTATCATTCGTCTAAGCACAAGTTAAAATTAATCTACAATTACAACTAGGAATTGAATGCAAAATCAACCAATGGCGGAAAGATAAAGGACATATGGTCTCAATGACCAAACAAGTGATCTCGAGTTACTAGCCTGTAAGGAACTACCTAGTGCGTACTATATGTTGTAAAGGAAACTATCATCCCTCGTACTAGAGACATACTCTAGCCTTAACATATTACAATGTCCATACAAACTTTCTAAAAAATCATCAAGTTGTGCAACAAATATATCACATATACACAATGCATATTGTCAATTACCATGCACAACTAAGTCATGGAATACACACAAGATATGCTCTAGGCCTTCAAGCTACAATAGCATATTAAATGTTATATTGTTGGGATTTATATGCCCTGGCATAGCAAATTCCTGTTTGGATTAATTGACATATGTTCCTGACGTTTCTGAAATATTTATGTTTTATACAATTGGTGAATTTAATGTATTATGTTTCGATTCACTATGAAATTGATAGTGTCCATGTAATTACAAGAAATATTTATATATATGTATGTGATGGCAATCAAATGCATGATATATAAATAGTAATTATAAATTGTTCATAGTCGGTAATTATGGATGGACTCATAATTAATTAAGACTTGAACTAGATCCGCGTTAGGTTGAGATATATTGCGAGAGCCGTCGTATGCAATTGCTCCCTATCATCGTCATGGCATTTGACTCTTAAGCATGAGAAAAGTATAGACTCTTTTTTTAATTAATAATTACTTTGATTTGTTCGGCGGATTCTTCGGGATCCTTAGACCGACACTTTGGGTAGTTATGTAATTAATAGTTAGAGGGTTATATTTTCAATATTTGCATCATTGCTACTTGTATTTATTTTGTATTGATTATGGTTGATCACAAAGTAAATTCGAAGGCCTTCGTGTGTTTTTAGACAAAATGATTTATTATATATTTATTTATTTAAATTATTATTTTTGTCAAACAAATGTTTTATTGTGATCGAGCCAGAAATAATCAAAGGTACCAAAATAAATATATTAATTAAGTAGTCGGATTGATGGCTATATTTATCCGATAACTAATTATGCATAGAGGGGTCAAAGTGCAATATTGACTTAGAGGTTATTTATTATTTAATTGGAGTTCAATTAATTTCTTTTAGTGGAGTAGAAATTAATTTATGAATTAATTGAATTGGGTCCATGGACCGGGCCAATTATTAATTCATTGTAGCCAATAAAATAATAGGCCCAATGGATTCTCACTCATAGACCAACTTGATATTGGAATCATATTAGATTTGAGACATATGAATTAGAGATGGAGAAGGATTTGTTGTTTCCTTTTCTTTATTTTTATGTTGCCTATAAATATACATGGTCTATGTATATTTGGGGGGGTGATTTTTAATGAGAAGGAAAAAGGAATTTATTTTCTCTCTCTAGAAAATTAGGGTTTATGTTCTCATCTAATGGAGGCTCCCACAAGCCTAGTTTTCCAAGGTCATTCATGGAGGCTTATGAGTGATTCCTAAAGGCAAAACAATTACCAAGAAGATGGAGATCCAAGAAGAAGGCATCTTGCTAAGGGATCTACAATAAGTGAGAACATTCACTTTAGAGGAAAGTTTTAAAGGTTTACTCAGACCTTTGATGTAAGTATTCAATCTGTTAATTGAATGATACATCATATTTTTATTTTGGCATAAAACTTGTCTCTATGTGATGAATCAAGATCTATGAATCAAAATCCCTCGAAAAGTTTTTAAAACTTGCACGTTTCCTAACAGTGGTATCAGAGCATGGTTTGATTCATTACTAGAGATCATGATTTTATGAAAATCATCATTCATGGATCCAAAATTATATTCATATATATTTTTTGATGTATGTTGATGTATGATTTAATATGTTGATATATATTGATACATAATGATGTATGAATAATTGTGAATGAATGATGATGTATGGTTGGGCCATGGATGAAGCTTATAGGTTAAATTAATGTAATTTTATCTTTGGATGAATGTAATTAAGGCTTTGATTTAGCCGTTTGAAAGTTCAATGATGTAATTTAATTTTTTCCATTGTATTTCAAATTGTAAATATTTTTAAAACCATGTAATCTTCGTCAAAGGATGCTATGAAGCTTCAAGAAGGTCCAAAAGGGTTAAATTATGCTTCAGTAATTTTCTGGAATTTTTCCGAATTTTTTGGAATTTTTCTGGAATTTTTCCGGATTTTTTGGAATTTTTTCGGCGTTTTTCCGGTGGCCGGAGCTTCGCCGGCGGCGAGAAGGGGCGTCGGAGGTGGCCCGGATCCGGTGTGGCATCAAGATGGTGAGCCTGGCGCGTGTTCCACACGCGCCAGGAGAGTGCACATGCTGGCGCGTGCAAGCCAAGGAGCTTGACCTCCACGCGCGTGAAGGCGCGTGGAGGCGCGTCCCACGCGCCCCAGGCGCGTGGGAGCGCGTGAGTGTGCATTCCACGCGCCCCAGGCGCGTGCCGGCGCGTGGGAGCGCGTGGGAGCACGTGCAGCTTGCCCTAGGCGCGTGCCAGCGCGTGTGAGGTCCTCCGGGCTCGTTTCAAGCGGCGTTTTGCTTCTCCTGACGCGTACAAGCTTCCTATGGGTGTTTACAGACAGTTGAAGGATGCCCGTACAGCAAGAATAGTTTTAAATGTTAAAAGCTGAATCCATTGGCCATTTAATTTGCTTTATCTGTCATTTATTGTTGTATGTGATGCATGAAATAATTAATTGCTAATTATTATTATTCATGCATTGGATCCATGATATTTATTTAAATGGCTTGATTTATATTAGTTAAATTATGAAAATTAATTGGATTTGATTACTAATTAATTAGAGGGCACTTATTGGGAAATAAAAAATTATTTTTATAAATTATTTTTGAAGTGTGCCTCAAGTTAAATATTAGTGAATCGTTTAAAGTCCAAATATTTTCTAAATTTAATTGGATTGAAATCAAGACGTTTTGCATGCATTATATCATGTAAATGAATAAAATGAAAACCCTAATTATGAATGATTAAAAATTGAGTGGGAGCGGGGATTTTTATACATTGCCCCATGGCCTTTGTTATTAACACCATTGTAATTAGATCTTCAAAAATAAGGCCCCACGCATGATTTGAAGAGTCTTAATATTACAAGAATGGTTGTCTCATGAAAATAATAATATTAAATGTTCATTGTACTTAGATCTTTAAAAATAAGGCCCTACGCATGATTTAAAGAGTCTAGATCATAATGACAAGATATTTAATATTTTATTTTTCATTAGAGCATTAATAACGTTATACACTCAATCTAAAATCAATAGTGTTAGCTTCCCAACGAAGTGGTCTATACTAGGTGATTTTAGAAAGGCTAAATTAAATCGGGAATCATTTCATATGATAGACAAGGCATTGTCTTAAGAGATATGGAAATGATGGGATTTGCCCGCCAATAGCAATAATGAACTTCGCCAACCGAATAAGTTATTGGCGTATTGGTTATTCGATTTTTCATGCAGTGGTTAAGGGACCCACATATTATTATTTTAATGGAAGTGCTCACCTAATAGTAAATGAATCTCAACAATAGTAATAATGAACTCCTCCAACAGGATAAGTTATTGACATATTGATTGGTTGATTTATTATGCTACAGAGTTGAGGGACCCGCATTAATTAAAAGGGATTGTTCACCAATAATGATAATGATCTCTTGTTCGATTGAGATTTATTATATTATGTGGTTAACAAACTCATTTTAATTTTAAATATGCATGACAGAATTAATAATTCACCTTGCATGTTGTATGAATGCATTT